GTAGGTCACGCATGTGATGGCTGCTGTCCATTAAGGCACTTTGCTGCGCCAAATAGAAGTTGCTCCGGGTGTGCCAGCCCATGACAGACGCTTACTAAACCGTCTATAAATATTTCTGGTTGGGAGTTCATTGTGAATCTGGCTGTGATCGTCGTCCTGTCTGCGACGTTAAAGAATTCCTGAAGAGATGGGGGAGCTCTATAAATACCTCCTGATCAGCCAGATCACATGGACAGGAAGGCTCATCGCCATACGAGGGTAAATAAGAGTGGTTGGGCCGGCTTGCTCGGTGACAACTTGGGCACAGGGGTGGGCCGATACACACACGAAGACACTGCTCGCTCAATGATGCTGTTCGGATGGTTGGATTGCGGGGAAGGGTAGGTTCCAATTGGTGCTCAACTGTATACACAACCATACCCATCAATCATACATCTGCTACATTGTCTTTTTGTACCTTTGATTAGTTGGTTGACGGACTGCTAACCTCACAGACAGAATTAGTGTAGGACTGTAGTATGCTACCATAGCCAGTTCTAACTAATGTTGCTGTAAGTGAACCATTCAGGGTGCATCTAGACTATGTAGACAATCTGTGTGAATGTTGTAGACATGCCACTTGATTCGGTAGAGTAGGATACTCGCCGGACACAACTATTGTTAGAAAATTAGGTGCCGGTCAGATACATGCTGTGGTAGGATTCCACTAGGGGATCCTAGTGCAGAAACTATCTGCCTAACTAATGAGTGGATCAGATCCTGTTGATGATAGAGCTGACAATAGGAGACTTACACGTTCGGAAGCATTAAGGGTTCCGCACGTGTTCAGGACCTTGGACGAGGGAGAAGAAAGACGGCTTCGTGCCGAACGTAGAGCCCGTGCTCTAGCAGCAGGACTACAGGAAGCACACAGAGTAGCAAGAGAGCGGGCAACAACAGCCAGAGCAGCAACAATGGCTAACGGTACCAGCTCTGCTGCGTCATCGTCTGCGTCCTCGTCCGGGACTAGTGGGACTCAGTTGGGAATGCCACTGAGTTCCATGAGTTCCTCGGACACTTCCGGTTCAACAGGGTCTAGACAGTCTTCTAGTCAAATGGCGGGCTCGCAGTTCAGCCCGTTGACCCCACGTGAGAGGGAGCTCAGAGAGATCAAACAGGTCGAGAGGCTCCGCCAGCAGTTAGAGGAGGATCTGAAGAAAGCAACCGATAGAGAAAGAGAGATAAAAAGTAGAGCGGCCAGACTTGATACGTTAGAGGCTGACAAGGCTGCGTTAGAGGGATTGGACGAAACAGGTTTGTCTGACCCCCTGAAAGTGTTGAAGAACAACATGTTGTCACTGCATGCGCACGTAGACAGCAGGTTGGACTTCATGCAGAGCACTTAGGACCAGATCCTAGATGCATTGACAAAGCCAGGATTCCGGCCACCAGCACAATCGCTGTTGCCATTATCGGCGATGTCAGGCCCCTTTCCAGTTCAAGCTGGTACCCAGCCTAGTGGTACGTTTGCAGCAGTCTCACAGACTGTTGCATCTTCTTCTTTGAGTCCAGCGGTGGTTGCTACACCACCGCAACAACCTGTCTCTCAACAGGGACAGCAGCAAGGTCAATGGTACCCCAAGACCCCAATGAAACCGCCTCTTGCCTTCTCGGGCGAGAGGAAGGATTAGGAACTCAACACATGGTTGAGGACGGTCCCGATTTGGGTGAAGGCCAAAAGGACCTTGCCAGAGGATGAAGTGGTAACCGCGGCATCTTACCTAGAGGGTAAGGCAGCCAAATGGTTAGATGGGGTAGTTGTGAAAGCCGGGTACGGGCGACGCATTGCGGACTGGGCCAAGTCTTTGACTCTAGACCAGTTCATGGAGATGGTAGAAGCTCAATGGCATAACCCACAGGAGGCGCAAAGGGCCACTGATGCCATAAATAAACTAGACCAGCGCAAGTTCCGGTCAGTTAGAGAGCTTACGACTACCGTTGAGAGCCTGATCCTTGTCCTGGGCATCAACTACAGTGACCATTTCCTGTTAACGACTTTCATTAGATGTCTTCCAGAGAACATCAGAAACTTACTAGCCAGTGAGGCACGCACCGAGTACCACTCATTTGAGACATTGTCTAGGAAGGCTTTAGATTTGGAGGCCACGCTAGGCAATGCTCAACCCACCTCAGGAAATGACTCAAAGAAGAAGAAGAGTCCTCAGGAGTGGAAGAAGAAGGGGGCGAAGTTGATGATGGTGGAGTCTGATGGGACTCAAACAGAGATCGACGAGCTCTCTGACCTGGTGGACTACACAGAGTTTGACGGCGAGGAGATAGCTGAGGGTAGGTAGTAAAGACTAAGGCAGGTGGCCGAGGGAAGGGCCACCTAGGAGTCAAGGGAAGGCCGCCTCCAATCAGACCAAACAGGCTGAGTGGGTTAAGGCAGGTCTTGATCAAGACGTGTGGCGTGACCGCTGAATGCATGGCGCTTGTATCAACTGCGGAGAATACGGACACATGCAGTGGAAGTGTCAGAACGCTAAGGTTACGCAAAAGATTGCTCCAAAGATGGGGGCATCTTATTCCCAGGCTTCTAGCTCGGGAAACACGTAGGGTCAGTGGAAGTAGTAGCGGCTTCTACTCAAGATGAAGTGAGCAAGATACCCTCCTCACTTCATGACAAGGCCGAAGCTAATGACTCCTTAGTCACCCCGCAGATGCATCTAGACCAAACTATGCTCTGTACGTTAGATGTGTCTGAGGCCTTAGAAGACTTAGAAGGCGAGTGGTCAAACAAGGACCCCCGCGAATCTTGGGTGGCGCTAAAGAAGGGTCCTAGAGGGGAACATTTCGTAGTGGAGGTGGACGTAGGAGGCCGCAAATGTGGTGCCTTCATAGACAACGGATCCACGCRAAATTACATAAGTCGCGATTGTTTGGAAAGGCTGCACCTACAGGACCGGGTACGGCACCTTAGTAGACCAGTAGCATCTACTTTGGCCAACAAAGAGCGCATGATTGTCACAGACTACATCAAGGACGTAGTCTGTACCTTCTCCTATGGAGGAGGWGAGCTTAACCATAAGATCTCGTTCTTGGTTAGCGACGACTTGCCATTCGAWATRYTGTTAGGCATGTACTACCTCGAAGTTGCTAAGCCCCAGTTCGACTGGGATAAGAAGGTGCTCAAACAMAAGTTGCCCGATGGCCGAACTGTCAGATTGACCAAGTTCAAGGCCAGTAGTATCTGTCTCTTATACACATCTAGATGTGTATAAGAGACAGGACGTAGCCTGTACCTTCTCCTATGGAGGAGGTGAGCTTAACCATAAGATCTCGTTCTTGGTTAGCAACGACTTGCCATTTGATATACTGTTAGGCATGTACTACCTCGAAGTTGCTAAGCCCCAGTTCGACTGGGATAAGAAGGTGCTCAAACACAAGTTGCCCGATGGCCGAACTGTCAGATTGACCAAGTTCAAGGCCAGTAGTATTATAGATACCTATGGCTGCTTGTGCGCATCCGCGTTTGACAACTATTACAAGCAAAACGAAGAGGAGGGTATGTACCTAGTTTATGTCTCTGAGAAGGGGGAGGCCGTTAAAACACCCCCAGAGATAGAACACGTCGTTAAGTTCCCTGATCTGTTCGAGGAGCCCATAGGAGTTGTCGAAAGGGAAGTCATCCACGCTATAGAAATCATTCCAGGGAGTAAGACCCCAAAGGGAAGGATCTATAGGATGGTCCCGCCGAGTTAGATGAACTTCGGCGACAGCTTAAGGAGCTGACAGAGAAGGGTTGGATTCGGCCTAGTACTTCCCCCTACGGATCATCCGTTCTATTCGTACCAAAGAAGGGGGGTACTTTGAGGATGTGCATTGACTATAGAGGCCTCAATGCCATCACAGTGAAGAACGCAGAGCCTCTACCTCGCATAGACGACCTATTGGATAGGGTGCAGGGATGCAAGTACTATACTAAGATAGACTTGAAATCCGGATATCATCAGATCGCAATAAGACCTGAGGACCAACACAAGACAGTTTTTCAGACTAGATATGGTATGTATGAGTTTGTAGTGATGCCTTTCGGTCTTTGCAATGCGCCGGGTACATTCCAGCACGCTATGAATCGGATCTTCCATGACCATTTAGATAAGTTTGTCGTGGTCTACCTAGACGACATTCTGATCTTTAGTAAGTCTGCCGAGGAGCATGCACAACATGTTGAGACGGTACTTTCACTCCTTCGACAGCACAAGTATAAGGTCAACTTAGAGAAGTGTGAATTCGGTTGCACTAAGATACTATACTTGGGTCATGAAGTATCCGCGGAGGGAGTTAGGCCGGAAGATGTGAAGGTGGCTAGTATTCGAGACTGGCCACGACCTCAGACAGTCACTGAGGTCAGATCTTTCTTAGGGATGAGTGGCTCGTAAAGAACTATTCCACAGTCGCCTCTCCTTTGACAGATCTAACTCGACTTGACACGCCGTGGGACTGGAGTGATGAGTGCGAAGGTGCTTTCAAGCGATTGAAGCATGCACTCATGAATCATGAAGTTCTCATGGTTCCCGATCCGCAGAAGCCATTCATAGTAACCACTGACGCAAGCCAATACGACATTGGCGCAGTGCTGGCTCAGCAGGATGGGAAAAAGTTGATTGAGTACATGAGTAAGAAGATGCCATCGAAGAAGTTGGCTAAGTCCACCTACGAAAGGGAACTCTATGCTCTCTACAAGGCACTTGTCCATTGGAGACACTTCCTTTTGGGAAGGTTCTTCTATCTGAGGACTGATCATCAGACCCTCAAATGGATCAGGACTCAACCGGCTCTTTCTGATGCACTCAAGCGATGGATTGAGGTCATAAACCAA